TACCTCTTTATCCTCGCCCCACCACATACCACGGCCGCACCAAGGCGTCTCCAGGCTCGATTTCTAGCCCTCGGCCTCGCTAGGCTTCCTCCTCCCCTCCCACACCTTCGTTCTGAATGCTGGATCAAACCACCCCGTAAACTTCCACTGCGATACACCCCACTTGCGGGGTTTCTCTACTGGGTCAAAATCATGGAAGGAAGAAAACCAAAACACACGTTACCACACAGAAGATAATTCGGGAAGGCACAAAGCTTATCTCCCAGCTCCAAGACTGAGGAACCACACAGACGTTATCTGTCACGGAGGATTCACGGGCTGAGGAAGGCCCAAGGATGTCCAGGCAATTTCTCCTCAGCAGCATCGGGACAAAGCAGCCCCCAACGCAGCCAAGCGAGGGCATCCCCCTCACCCACCAGGAATCCCTTGTCCGCCTTCGCACAGGCTGTTTCTCCATAGTCCTCAAGGGAGCTCACCACACCAACACGTCAGCTCTGGTGATTAAAAACAAAATTACAGTCTACGACTTCTAGTCAATTTTACAGCAGCTGCTCTGCGGGCAGAATTCACCTCTCCACTCCTTTCAGCCACCCTGTCTGTGGGTTACCTGCCGTAACAGGCGCATGCGTGGGTCAGGCCATCACAGATACCGTCCCCATCGCTAGGCACGGGCAACCCACAGCCTAAACCAAGGGAAGGAGAAAGAAATCTGTAACACACAGCAACCGGACTGAGACACAGCAGCTTTGAAGGCTCTTTTCCAAACAAACTTTCTGCATTCCCAGAAATACAGGCCACGTGGTGACTTAGGCAATTTCGTGCATTTGTGACTAGACAGTTAACAAAGCCTTGGTATTGACACACTACTTATCTACTTCTTAGTAGCACATCGGAGCAGTTTTAACTGTTTAGTGCTTATTCTTCACTGCAGTTAATGTGGCAACCACAGCCTTGACTCAGCAGTGGGACTCTGGCCAGCTTTAAGGGAGTATCTAGGACTCTCTGTCCCCCAAGATATCCAAGCCTCTTCCATAGCGTGTTCCTGGAAGCGGGGAATAGTTTTGTTATTTGTGCAATACCTTGTACGCTGGGGACTTGGCCCATTGCTCGAATTCTCAAGACAAGGGCACTGCCTCGCAGTACTGTCAGCTGTTTGCACTGCAATACAGAAACACCGCACACATCCAACGCAAGAGCAAAGGTCCCACTAAAGTCAAACCACGATCCCTCCCAGAACACTCTCACCAGCCTCTTGTTTATCTCTAATCTGCCACCTGCTCACTTCCTTTGATGGCACCCAGTTTTTCTACTGAAAAAGCCCTTATTCACCTCCTCTGTCCTCTCAGGGTTTCACAGATCTGCATCATTGCCCTTCCAGGCTGGCGGCGAGTTCTCAACCATGTAATTACTCCCCCAGAAGTCTTCCCGTAACTTTGATTATTCTTGTCATCCTTCCTTAGGCCTTTTTCAGGTGTAACTCCAGCCAGGTGCCAGGCATCATCTGCAAAGATCCAGGAGGGAGAGTGGGCAAAGACAAACAAAACTGCACTTCATACCTACAGCCATGCCTTCCTGTGATCTCCAAGAGCCTGAGGAAGCCCAACAGGGCCCACTACCTGCAGGACACTGATGTGGATGCAGCCGTGATAATAGTGGAGGAGCTGTACAGCAACTTAAATGCCTCTCCACTTACACAGAAGCAGAGAACAAAGTTAACTCCAGTGGTAGCACCTCCTAGGGCAAACCCCACAGTTTTCTGCAGGGAACCTGGAAAGAGCTCTGTAAGGTTTTACTGCACAATGACCCAATCCCAAGGTGAGACAAAGCTCACCCCACTTCCCCAGCCTGTATACCCCCGCCAAAGAGAACCTGATGGGTGCTGATTACTGCCAGCACACTTAGCTGTTACTCAGCAGCTATCATGTCCTCCCTGCAGCCAGAAAATTAGTCCTGACACACAGGGTTCATTTCAAAGCCCAGAACAAGAAATAAGCAAGAATCAGTTCCAACTTCCACATAAGCCTTTTCCCAAGCAACAGAGAAAGATATCCTACAGCAGAGACCCCTGATGCTAGACATCCCCAAGAATACCAGAAGAAGAGTCAGAGGCTTCACTGACAATTATTTAGACCTGGAGACCACTCTCTGCACAGTCGTTTGCTGTCCTAGTAATTGCCTTCTAAGAACGAAAAATCCATTTCTGACAAAAAGACATCGTGTTATTCCATTATTATCTGCCAGATTTGTTCAGGGTTTTTTAAAAAATCTGAAAGTTATTTTTTCCTCTCCATAATATGGATCATTTGAGAATGAAAGTATGACCATTTATACCAAACTTAATTTTATTTCTTTATTTTACAAACAAAAATATACATTGCTTCTATATTTTCTCTCTTTGCATCCCCCCCACACATAACACACTTCTGCTCAAGGACCATTTTGAATATGGCCCAAAGCACTATATATACATAAAAATACAACAGGAGGAAGGTCAGTCCATGACCGAGCGCAGAAGCTCCTCAGCAGCAGATCGTGGGACACTCCAGAAATACTGGAGTCCTGCCAGCAAAGGACAGGATGGACATGTTGACCACCTGCACAGGTGATCCTTCAGCACTGAATTCAGCTGATAAAAAGGCAAATTCGTAACCTGCTCTTCACATCACCAACGAGGGCAGACAAGTCCTCTCTGCCAGGGTGTTGACAGTCAGCAAATACTCCTTGTGATGGAAAAGTTGCTCCTTTATTTCTCAACTGCTTTAACACCTTCATATCTCTTGGCTCTGTCCAAGGCCCACCAACTCCGGGGAAGCTTTGCAGGTTTCCCCATGCTTCTAACAGCAGCTCGTGTTGTAAGCAGTATTAGGAGCAGCAGCAGGGCAATTCAGGGACGACATCATCCATCCCTTTTAGAGTAAGCAAGCAAGTGTGGCTCAGGCCGATTCACAGCAAGTGACGGGAGGAGCGTGGAACACTTCTCTAACGTGGCAAGGGCTGACTTAGCCAGTTGCTTGTCCAGCCCTTACATAGTCATTGCATGGAGGGTAAATGTGAAAGGCTATTGACCTACATAAGACAATTCAGCTCTCACACATAGACAAACGGAAGCCTTTTTTCCTCAAAAGTAAATTAAAAAAAAAAAGCGGGGGCTGTTTGTTTTCAAGGTGCCAGTGCTACTTAGAGGCCTGCAGGGCAAAGTCCACAGGCAGAACAGAGAGGCTGCATTGCTCATTAACAAAAAAGATAAGCAAAGGGCCTGCATAGTTTTGGTAACCAACATGAACTTTGCGTTCTTACCCAAACTTTCTCGTGTTCTGTCCCTATGGTGGGAACACCTGGTCACAAATGCTTTCCCCTACCTGCTCATGATCCAAACTAACACCTCCATGCTGCACCCTGCATGACGATTTCCCAGAAACTCTTACCTCAATATTCTTCAGGAAGAGCAGTGAGTTGGGGCAAGAGATTCACACAGTCCCCAAACATTTCAAATTCCCTCTTTCTACCATTCTCCAACAGAAAGTTGCTATTCCTATAGCAGATCTCCACCTACCTGGAGGACTCAGGTAGGAAAGCACCCCCAAAGCTAGAGGAATACACCTCTTCATCCTTGGAGAGCACAGTATGTCCCAGAAACCAGCCCCATGCAGCTTTCAGCTGAACAGTCCCTGGATTGGAACACGACGTCTTGAAACTGCATGCCAGACAGCTCAGACAACAGTAGTTCCTTTTCCAGCATGGAAGGGGTTAATAAGAAGTTCCAGATAGTCTCTGAATGAACCACGCTCCACATGCACATAAGTATTTTCACCATATCGAGCCATAAAACCTATTCAGACCAGCAGAAGTCTGGGGATCTGAACTGCAACATAAGAGAAGGACACTGCCAGAGAAACACGTCCATCTCCCACTTGCCTCTCAAGTTAGAACACCAGCTAGCTTGATTCTAGCACGCCTATGTTTGAGTTTCCAGTCATTAAATACTGACAGCTTGGACTCATCATGGACTTCTGCTCTGCCTCAAGCACCTGAACATCTCTGGAGCCTTCATTTGCAGAAGTCAGCTTCCTCCTTCATAGCACTCTCTAAGGCCCTGCCAGAGCCACGAAGCAGGGTACAGATGGAAAATGCACCTACCTCACAGGTTTTATTTTTGAAACTCAGCCCTGATTCAGTGTTGTTACTTGGCTTTTCCTGTGAGCACAGCCTCCACAGACTGTTTCACAGCTACTTCAGCTCAGCTAGACAGCAGCACTGTCTGTCCTTTTGTCTCCCTATTGTTCAGTCAGTTCACATCCATGCTGCTAGCTACTAGCCCCCCAAAATGCTCCCAGGGCACAAACAGTTCATTCCTCTTCATACCTCTCTTCTCCTTCCCACACACTCAGAACACTCCTTTTAACCCATAGCAACTGCAATTCATGATTTTCATCAGTATTAGCTGAAACCAGAGATAAGCCCAGTTGACCTCTTCAGACACTGCTATCAGCATCTATGCTGTTGCATTATGACAAGACCCAGGCAACCTGCTGCTTGAAAAAGCCCAGGAAGACCATATTTGGTTTCAACCACCAAACTCTTTCTATATATGTACAATACAGCAGTCAAATCAACACCCTCATCCCTAAACACCATTCCCCTAATTGGCAGACAAGTGCTTTCAGTCATTGAAAAGGAAGAGGTGCTAGTCAGGCCTGTCTTCTGGGTCATATTCACATCTGGGACACAGAGGATCAGAAAGGTTCAGTGTTTATAGATTTATGAACAAAGCTTTTCTACATTGTTCTCAGGTAGCGACAAAAAAAATGTTCTTTCCAACAGGATTTGGGCTGCCAACAGTTCCACAATAGGTTTCGGAAATCCTAAGGAAGAGAGGAAAGCCATGGCAGATAGCCAAGGACAGATTTCCAATGGACATCCTAACAGCTGTGGTATCAGGGAGCTTGGAAGGAAAAGAATGAGGCATCATGTGAAGTGCGTAGCCCTGCCTTAGGCATTGATGGCTTTCCAGCGGTCACTGTCTATGCTGTTGATGCTGCCCACGTGATATGGCATAGAGGCCACATCATCCAGGTAGGCTGTGGTGTCAATCTGAGTGCTCGAGTAAAACCCAGAATCCATTCCTTCCTTCTTGGCAACAGCATAAGGGTGGGGTAGGTGCACATCCACATCCTCAGGTTCATCCACCTGACATTTGTACGAGAAAAGGATCTTCGGTTCAGACCTGGAGTGATTAAAGATTTAAAATACAATTTTAAGCAATGTAGTATCACAGCCACTTATCTTTAACTGAAACTCAGCAGCACTAAGAAATTGTGTATTCAGACCCTAAAAACTCTTCACACTAGCTTTCAGTCCTGAAATATACCTAGCAGAGTAATTGCCATAAAGTAATGCTAAATGTAGCTTTGGACTAAGTCACCTAAGAGAGAGAAAAGGCAGAATCCTGACTCTAGTGTGGCAAAGGTGTTCTCATCTTTGGGAGTTCTGAACTACTGAGGGCAAAGGCATCCAAACACCACTGGACTCCATGGCAACCTAGTTACTGACACCAACAGAACAGGAGTCCACCTCAAGTTCCATCTGTGCACATCAGGAAAACCAAAATACAAACACTTGTGGATCAGCAGTTTCCATCTCTAACTCCAGACACTCTTCCCTTCTGATTTCAGAAGGCAACAGAGGCACATTTTGATATTTTAGGAGTACTTTATGTTCTTATTTTAAAGCCTGCTGTTTCTTGCTTATGGACAATAAAAGCTAAAGCCTACACAAAGCCACTCTGTTTTTCCTACCAAGATGCATCTCCTCTGAGTGGCCACACGGCGGCAACCCCGACCCAGGAATCACACTCCCGCATGCTTTTAACTCCGGGTGACTCTTGGGCCCATTGTAGAGGAGTCCTCAGCCAAAGAGTTACCTAACGCCTAGATCCTTTCTACAAACCTATCCCAAAACCCACTCAGGAGACCATTTAACCTTGCAGGACTCAATCTCTCACTAACCATTTAGTTAACAACTTCAGCAGAAAAAGTTTATACTAAACAGGATGTAGACACTAAAGAAGTGATCCTCATAAATGTTTGAGAGGAATATAGCTATCAGCTCTACTTTGCATACAAAGGAGTCTTGGATAGAAGTGAGCAGCCCTGGGTCACACAAGAAAAATTTCAAGGCCAAAAATTAACAACTGGTTCCCTAACTGGCATTCTAGTTGCTGCCTTTATTCTACAGAAGGAGAGAACTTGGGTGCAAAGCAATTAAATGACAATATATACCCTCTAAACTCCTGTTCCTGGCTACTCACCCAAAGAAG